AGAAAGAAAGAAAGAAAGAAAGAAAGAAAGAAAGAAAGAAAGAAAGAGAAACCAGATCTCGGAGAGTTGAGAGCATAAACTGCTCTCCCAGGGGGCTGGGTTTTAGTTCTCAGCACCCATATGACGCAGCTCTGAACTGCCTGTATGTCCACGTCAGGGGATCTGATTCTTCTTCTGGACTCTGGGCATCTGCATTCACATGTACAGACACCCCACACACACGTGCACACACGCGTGCACACACAAATAAAAATGAAGGTAAATCTTCCTTTAAAAAAAAACATCGGGGAACAGTAGAGACGGCTCAGAGGTTAAGAGCACTGACTGCTCTCCCAGAGATCCTGAGTTCAATAAGATAGCTACAGTGTACTCATATACATGAAATAAATCTTTTTAAGAAAATCAATAAATGGAATACACATGGCATCAGAATGAAGAATAAAAATATCAATACGATTAAGTCAGGCAAGGTAGTGCACGCCTTGCACGCCTTTAAGCCCAGCACTCAGGAGGCAGGGACAGGAAGATCTCTGTAAGTTTAAAGCTAACCTGGTCTACACAGCAAATCTCAGACCCACTAGGGCTACACAGTGAGACCCTGTCTCAAAAAATAATTATAAAATGAAATATGAGAACAAAAGTGGGGCTACAGGTCAGGGGTGGAATATTGCCTAGCATGTGTGAGGGGCTAAATTCAATCCCAAATATACAAACCAACCAACCAGACAGACAGACAAACAGCACCAGGGACGATGACAGGGTACAACACTGGCCACCTACAGTGCTGTGCAAAGTCTTTCTGGAGATCCTGTCTGGCGTTGACAAAGGCACAGCCTCGCTCTGTCCCCACCACGTACACGTCTGTCTCATACACAGCGATGCAGGCCACCTCAGCCTTGGACTTGGCCAGCTCTTTACACTGAAACGGAAATGCAAAACGACAAGGGTGGGTTCTACACACGTTCGAGATCATCGTGGGCCGGATGAGAAGCTGCCTTTAAAAACTAGGTGAAAAAAGGGGGGACAACTAACTTAACTACTAAGAGACTTTATCTCAGACCCCCAAACGAGTCACTCACTCTCCCTTCAACATCTCTTTTCATATTTTTTATTTTATGAGTAATCATATTAGATGGTGTGTATGTATGTGTATGCACACGTGTGTGTGTCAGAGAACAACTTGTGTTAGTTCTCTCCTTCTACTCTATGGGTCCCAGGACTTGAACTCAGAACGTCAGGGTTGGTGGCAAGCCCCTCCACCTGCCGAGCCATCTTACTGGCCCTGCTTCATGGCTACTAAATTTACCTACAAAAAACCACACAGGATAGAAGACCTGTGAGGGGCCTGATCTGCCCTCGTGTGTTGCACCCCAGTGTCTGGAAGGGTCCTGGGAGTAGGAGGCCCATCGTAAGTGCTTGTTAAATGCAGCAATGGATCCATCCCATTCCATGGTTTTTAGGGCAGGTATGTCTAGCTTTCTTATTTTTTAGGGGGTGAAGAGGATGGTGTCACGTGTCTCATACTGGCCGTGAACTCATTATGTTATGCTGGCAAGACATCCCAGTGGATAGATAGCCTAATGACCTGAATTTGGTCCCCAGGATTCACGTGATGGCTGGAGAACACCAGATTCCCAAAAGCAGCCCCTTACTCTCCCGGTGCACTCTATAGCATGCCCACGTCACGTCCACTACATACATGTAAACACATCAAAACAACCCTTACTTACGCCCCTGGTGACCTTGAACTCCCGACCCACTTTCTCTACCTCCCATAGTGCTGGGGTCTCCAGGTGTGTACCACCACACTGCACTGAAGGACATCCTCATACAGACATGAGGGGGGTACAGAGAAGTGACCCTGAAGTGTGCCACCATCCTTCAGTTCAGCAACAATCTGAGATATCCGCAGAGCCACAGAGTCTCACCATGGACTCCAGGGCAGACATGAGGAACGTCACCACCATCCTGCTGTCTGAGGACTCATCGCCAACGGGCTGGGTGGACACCGCTACTTGAGCCATTCTTCCTGTAGAGAAACAAGGAGGTGAGTGGTGGGGACCCTCAGTGCTGTTGTGATCACATGACAACAGCTGTGCGGGTGTGAATGGAGGGTCCATCATGGCTTATGGGTTGGGTGCCCAGGCTGGTGCCAGAAGCTTTGGGATGTAAGACGCCTTTAGGACACTGAAGGCATGAGGTAGTCCTTGTACGATACGCAGACCCTACCTCACCTGCAGCTCCCACAGCCGAGAAGCAAGGTGTGTGGAGGCAGAAGGTGTGGGTCGGGCTGCTTCCATCATAGTGGACCAGGAAGCTCTTCAGAGAAGAGTGTTACATTTTTTTTTTTTTAAAGACAAGTCTCATAATACAGTTCCTGTTGACCTGGAACTCAATCCGTACACCAAGCAAGGAGACCTTAAAATAAAGATCTACCCACTTCTGCATCCTGAGTATTGGGATTAAAGAATGTGCCGGTACACCTGGACATTTTTATTTTATTTTGCAAAGGGGTCTTCCCAGCCCACCACACTGACAGTGAAGTATGTATCCAAGGATGACTTTCAATTTCTGACCCTCCTTCCTCAGTTTTCCAACTGCTGAGAAAACAGGACATGTGCCACCACCCTTGGCTGACAACTTTGGCCTTTGACGAGAAAGAAATGATGGACAGCGTGGGAGGGGCTGGTTGGCATCAATTCTACATCAAGAAGGAATAAAGAATCAACGGTGTCTCGTTTACTATGCTCTATTTGTGTTCTGTATGTAACAACAAAGGAGGCAGGAAAATCCTCCTCCCTCCCTC